TCTGGAGAAGGTGGGGAGGATGGGGTGGGGGGGGTCAGAACGCTCTCTATGGTGCTACTGGAGAAGGTGGGGAGGATGGGGTGGGGGGGTCAGAACGCTCTCTATGGTGCTACTGGAGGAGGTGGGGTGGGGGGGTCAGAACGCTCTCTATGGTGCTTCTGGAGAAGGTGGGGAGGATGGGGGGGTCAGAACGCTCTCTATGGTGCTTCTGGAGAAGGTGGGGAGGATGGGGGGGTCAGAACGCTCTCTATGGTGCTTCTGGAGAAGGTGGGGAGGATGGGGGGGTCAGAACGCTCTCTATGGTGCTTCTGGAGAAGGTGGGGAGGATGGGGGGGTCAGAACGCTCTCTATGGTGCTTCTGGAGAAGGTGGGGAGGATGGGGGGGTCAGAACGCTCTCTATGGTGCTTCTGGAGAAGGTGGGGAGGATGGGGGGGGGTCAGAACGCTCTTCATGGTGCTTCTGGAGAAGGTGGGGAGGATGGGGGGGTCAGAACGCTCTCTATGGTGCTTCTGGAGAAGGTGGGGGGGTGGGGGGATCAGAACGCTCTTCATGGTGCTTCTGGAGAAGGTGGGGAGGATGGGGGGGTCAGAACGCTCTCTATGGTGCTTCTGGAGAAGGTGGGGAGGATGGGGGGATCAGAACGCTCTTCATGGTGCTTCTGGAGAAGGTGGTCTGGAGACGCCCAGATTTCGCCCACATCTGGTTTGTGTGTTTTGGAGTTTGCATCAAACGTGTTGCAGCTTGTTTTGTGGTTTACTTTGTTTGAACCTCTCAGTAACCTGTCAGCAACCTGTCAGTCACCTAATAGCAAACTGTCAGCCACCTGTCAGCCACCTGTCAGTCACCTATTAGCAAGCTGTCAGCAACCTGTCAGCAACCTGTCAGTCACCTAATAGCAAACTGTCAGCAACCTGTCAGTCACCTATTAGCAAACTGTCAGCCACCTGTCAGTCACCTATTAGCAAACTGTCAGCAACCTGTCAGCAACCTGTCAGTCACCTGTCAGTCACCTGTCAGCAACCTGTCAGCAACCTGTCAGCCACCTGTCAGTCACCTATTAGCAAACTGTCAGCAACCTGTCAGCAACCTGTCAGTCACCTGTCAGTCACCTGTCAGCAACCTGTCAGTCACCTGTCAGCAACCTGTCAGCCACCTGTCAGCAACCTGTCAGCCACCTGTCAGCAACCTGTCAGCCACCTGTCAGCCACCTGTCAGTCACCTGTCAGCCACCTGTCAGCAACCTGTCAGCCACCTGTCAGCAACCTGTCAGCCACCTGTCAGTCACCTATTAGCAAACTGTCAGCAACCTGTCAGCCACCTGTCAGCCACCTGTCAGTCAGCTGTCAGCCACCTGTCAGTCACCTGTCAGCAACCTGTCAGTCACCTATTAGCAAACTGTCAGCAACCTGTCAGCCACCTGTCAGCCACCTGTCAGCCACCTGTCAGCAACCTGTCAGCAACCTGTCAGCCACCTGTCAGTCACCTATTAGCAAACTGTCAGCAACCTGTCAGCCACCTGTCAGCCACCTGTCAGTCAGCTGTCAGCCACCTGTCAGTCACCTGTCAGCAACCTGTCAGTCACCTATTAGCAAACTGTCAGCAACCTGTCAGCCACCTGTCAGCCACCTGTCAGTCAGCTGTCAGCCACCTGTCAGCAACCTGTCAGTCACCTATTAGCAAACTGTCAGCAACCTGTCAGCCACCTGTCAGCCACCTGTCAGTCAGCTGTCAGCCACCTGTCAGTCACCTGTCAGCAACCTGTCAGTCACCTATTAGCAAACTGTCAGCAACCTGTCAGCCACCTGTCAGCCACCTGTCAGTCACCTATTAGCAAACTGTCAGCAACCTGTCAGTCACCTGTCAGCAACCTGTCAGTCACCTATTAGCAAACTGTCAGCCACCTGTCAGTCACCTGTCAGCCACCGTAGAAATCAGAACCCATTAATCAGACAATCCACACATACCAAGGGGATGGAATGTGGGGGGATTGGAGCATCTTAAAGCTTTATCTTCTTCAGAGATGAAGAACTTTTTCTGAAGAACCCCACAGCATGATGCTGCCACCATCAGGTGTGTGCTCCCAGCAGAGAGCAGAGGCCAAACATGGAGAGGAAACCTGCTATGGTCAATGGATAAGACTATTCATCCCTCAACAGCCAATAGAACAAAGGAGCGGCTTCAGAAGCAGTCTGTGATTGGTCAGTCTGTGATTGGTCAGTCTGGATCCCCGGCTGGAACCCACTATCAATGGAGACCTCACACTCACGGTGACCATTCACAGACCGAGATGAGCTGGAGACAGACCGCAGAACAACGAATGCTGAGGCTGCTTCAACAGACGGGATTGTGTTCCTTGTAATCATAAGGATTCTGCAGGGTTAACATTGTAGGAATGGGTGGTTTCTTGTGTCTCTAGCATTAAGATGCTGCTGTGAAAACACTCAATAAAACACACCATCACTCTGGCTGTTAAAAAGATGGGTTTTAATAGTGCACAAAGGTATGAAAACAGCTTAGAAACCATTAGAACCGGCTGATAAAGGAGATAAATTGTCTTTTTAAGCCTGTTTTCGATTGTCCTTCTTCATAAATGACTGAAAACAAGACAAAGAATCTGAGAAAGGAAAAACCCACCCATGATTTCACAAGCACCACCCATAGAAGACAAAACGTAATCATTCAGCTGAAATCATGACAAAGGGGAGGCTGGCGGAGTGAGGAGAATGTCTTAAAGAGCTCAGACTGGTCTTCTCCATGCCACCAGTTAACCAGCAGTGTAATAAAACCTGACATAGAGCAGGATGAGTGGAATAAGATCTACATTCCACTGCTTCCATCTGTAGCGTTTCCATGAAGGAAGAAGTTCTTTGTGTGATAAAAAACAAACCCAGACTCTGCCGTGATGATTTCAGCTTTCAGGATCAACATCAATAAAACCTCAACCCCGTCAGTTTCTGACAGCAGGCTGTCTCCATGGAAACGCTCACCAGCACAGCCATGATTGGCTAAAGGGATTTGGTCCTTTATGAAAGGCAAGAAAAATAGTTTTAATAATTAACAAAAGAACAATGAGGACAGATCCCGAAACAGAAGAACAGCATTATGGGGAATTACAGAAATCTGACAGATTTTATGCAGCAGCACTGCTGCCTGAGAAATTAGGGTTATGGCCCAGATTACGCAGCAACCAGGGCATCCAGGCCAGTTTGTTCCTTTGCAGTTTGGGTAATTTAATGCAGAACTTCCTGATCCTCCATCCAGAATTTAAAGAGCAGATCTTTAATTAACTCTCACGCTGTTCCAGGTTGCTCTTGTTTCTTGGATTGATCTGGTACACAAAGAGCTTGACCAGCATGAGGTATTAAGTAATAATATGGAACCAAGTGTTATTAAATGTGAGATACGAGCCTTTTTATGATCACTGATCTCCACCCGGATAAAAAAAACGATGTAGAAAAACTAATACAGAGGTATGAGAGCGAGAGAAGCCTCAGAGGTACGTCAGAGAGACCCAACGGAGGTACGTCAGAGAGACCCAACGGAGGTACGTCAGAGAGACCCAACGGAGGTACGTCAGAGAGACCCAACAGAGGTACATCAGAGAGACCCAACGGAAGTACATCAGCGCGACCCAACAGAGATACGTCAGTAAGACCCAACAGAGGTACATCAGAGAGACCCAACAGAGGTACGTCACAGAGACCCAACGGAAGTATATCAGCGAGACCCAACGGAGGTACATCAGAGAGACCCAACAGAGGTACATCAGAGAGACCCAAGAGAGGTACATAAGCGAGACCCAACAGAGGTACGTCAGTGAGACCCAACAGAGGATTTATCAGCGAGACCCAACGGACGGTACATCAGTGAGACCCAACAGAGATACGTCAGAGAGACCCAACGGAGGGTACGTCAGTGAGACCCAATGGAGGGTACGTCAGTGAGACCCAACAGAGGTACATCAGAGAGACCCAACGGAAGTACATCAGCGCGACCCAACAGAGATACGTCAGTAAGACCCAACAGAGGTACGTCAGTGAGACCCAACAGAGGATTTATCAGCGAGACCCAACAGAGATACGTCAGTAAGACCCAACAGAGATACGTCAGTGAGACCCAACAGAGGATTTATCAGCGAGACCCAACAAAGATACGTCAGTAAGACCCAACAGAGATACGTCAGTAAGACCCAACAGAGATACGTCAGTAAGACCCAACAGAGGTACGTCAGTGAGACCCAACAGAGGTACGTCAGTAAGACCCAACAGAGATACGTCAGTAAGACCCAACAGAGGTACGTCAGTGAGACCCAACAGAGGATTTATCAGCGAGACCCAACAAAGATACGTCAGTAAGACCCAACAGAGATACGTCAGTAAGACCCAACAGAGATACGTCAGTAAGACCCAACAGAGGTACGTCAGTGAGACCCAACAGAGGATTTATCAGCGAGACCCAACAGAGATACGTCAGTAAGACCCAACAGAGGTACGTCAGTGAGACCCAACAGAGGATTTATCAGCGAGACCCAACAGAGATAAGTCAGTGAGACCCAACAGATGCGCATCAGTGAGACCCAACAGAGGTATGTAACGGGTACATCAGCGTGTGACCCAGGAAAGGTACAAAACAGCAAAGGAGCAAACAGACCCAAAGCCTTGGATGACCCTGATCATAAGGAAAAGTTTAGCGGTTTTTCTTCTAATTGTTTGTTAAGGCAGAAAATGAAGGTCATTCTCCACACAGAACAAAAAAACAAAAAAAAAAACCGACAGGGAGAAGATGAATAAATTAATGGGTGGTGGCACTGGGGTGATCTTCGGCCGAGCAGTTTCTATACCGGACACCTGCAGGACAAGAAAAGATCTCAAGCATTTCAGAATAAAGGATCACATAAAGATTCAAGTATTCACCCCCACTCTAACCGTCCAACTAGGAGTTCAAAGAATCTTAAATCTGCTTCTCTGTGATGCAGATATAATAACCCCCCCCCCCCCACGGAGGAAACACTCACCTTGAGGAAGGAGCATCAGTCATGAGGTGAAACGGTGTGTAGTGGAATAAGACTCTCACTCTGCTCGTGGTTATCTGCTAGTCTGGGAGAAGAGGGAAGCCAATCACCACCATCATCATCATCATCATCATCAGCAGCAGCATCATCATCATCACCATCATCACCTCCATCATCATCATCATCATCATCATCATCACCACCAATATAAGGAAGAACAACTTAGCCCATTGCCTCTACAGGGGGATTGGTATGAGTGATCAAAGAGCCTCATGTCAGCGAGGCTTTGGGTCCATTAACAGAACCGGCGCAGCGGGTCGGGGTGGTTTCCTCATACACGCTTTGTTTTAAAAAAATAGAAATATACAAAATCTAACGGCGGATGTCTGGGGGCCAGTGATTGGCCTCCATGTTCTGAATGCTGGCGTTCCATAAAGAATAAATGATGAACAGTTTAGTTTGTGCCTTCAAGTCGTTGCCCATAGGAAGACGTCACTGGATATAACCTAACGGAATATCTTCAGAACGGCTCCAAATGACACTAAACTCAGATGGGAGAGTAGAACATGATGGAATAACGGAAAATCAAGGGGCCAATGGCAAAAAAAAAAAATTCCCCCTAATGACTTTTTTTCAGCCTTCAAGGAAGTGGAGCTGTAACCTGGATCGCGTGCTTTAGACCGTCGTGCTTTGGATGGTCGTGCTTTAGATTGTCGCGCTGTAGATCGTCGTGCTTTACATCATTGTGCTTAGATGGTCGTGTTTTAGATCAGTCACCTGTCAGCAACCTGTTTAGATAAAACTGCAGCTCTTCTGAGTTCTCTACATCCAGTCTGTTCTCTACATCCAGTCTGTTCTCTGCATCCAGTCTGTTCTCTGCATCCAGTCTGTTCTCTACATCCAGTCTGTTCTCTACATCCAGTCTGTTCTCTACATCCAGTCTGTTCTCTACATCCAGTCTGTTCTCTACATCCAGTCTGTTCTCTGCATCCAGTCTGTTCTCTACATCCAGTCTGTTCTCTACATCCAGTCTGTTCTCTACATCCAGTCTGTTCTCTACATCCAGTCTGTTCTCTACATCCAGTCTGTTCTCTACATCCAGTCTGTTCTCTACATCCAGTCTGTTCTCTGCATCCAGTCTGTTCTCTACATCCAGTCTGTTCTCTACATCCAGTCTGTTCTCTACATCCAGTCTGTTCTCTGCATCCAGTCTGTTCTCTACATCCAGTCTGTTCTCTACATCCAGTCTGTTCTCTACATCCAGTCTGTTCTCTACATCCAGTCTGTTCTCTACATCCAGTCTGTTCTCTACATCCAGTCTGTTCTCTACATCCAGTCTGTTCTCTACATCCAGTCTGTTCTCTACATCCAGTCTGTTCTCTACATCCAGTCTGTTCTCTACATCCAGTCTGTTCTCTACATCCAGTCTGTTCTCTACATCCAGTCTGTTCTCTACATCCAGTCTGTTCTCTACATCCAGTCTGTTCTCTACATCCAGTCTGTTCTCTACATCCAGTCTGTTCTCTACATCCAGTCTGTTCTCTACATCCAGTCTGTTCTCTACATCCAGTCTGTTCTCTACATCCAGTCTGTTCTCTACATCCAGTCTGTTCTCTGCATCCAGACTGTAGTGGCAACTTCGGAGCCACCGCTTCAGAGTGGAAATATAGATCAGATCCAACGCGCGTCTTCCAAAAATAGAGGCATTTATTTTTCTTTCACTAACGTACAAAACAAAAGCGCTCCCGCATCACGCGGTTGAAAAACTGTTTGTCCCTTCCACTCTACCTGAGCGGCAGGTGACAGCACCTATTAATCAAATCAGCTCAACGTTACGCCCACAGACAGGAAGAGAGCAAATAAACAAATCAGAAAGAAAACAGACATATTTCCAACTAAAGATTCAAAACTAAATCAGGAGAATTAGAATGCGAATAAGTTCATAATAAATTCAGGGAAAAAGAAAAAATAAAAAATAAAAAAAAATAAATAAAAGAGATGCAAAACGGCTCCAACATTCCGGCCCCTAATTGATCATACTATGGCAATTAAACACATACATTCACAAGGAACCGTGCATTTCAAAAGAGCATTCAAATAAAGTCTTTCACATTCCTTTTCTTTTTTGTCCTTTTTTTCACATTAAGTCCCTTTATGTATTCATAAATCATTCATAAATAAATCATTCATAAATAAATCATTCATAAATAAAAAGTAGTCCTTTCAAAAGAAAATCAAGGGATTTCCAAAAAAATCAAGAATTACGTTCATTTAGTCCATAAGACAACATACAGTAAACACCATAGTCAGACTGTTTTTAGTCATATTTTCAGATATTCAAAAGCGGTTCAATTTTTTTCGCATATCCGGCCATTTACTCAATCAATACCTTTACATATTACATAGAAAACATGAAAGCTTAATTCAATAAACTATTCTATGGTCAGTAAAGTGTATGAGTGTTCTGGTCAATAAGGAACGGTCAGTCAGGCCATGTCTCTGAGGAGGCAAAGCTTTGTGATTGGCCTTTCTAGAACACCAGTCTGAGTCTTGACTTTGACACGACGTACGAATCCTTTTGCATCAGGGAAAGTTTCTATTACACGTCCCATCGGCCAGGAATTTCGGGGTGATGTGTCATCAATGATGAGGACGACGTCATCAGATTTAAGATTTCTTTTTACTTCGTTCCATCTTTGTCTCTCCTGCATCAGTGAGAGGTATTCACGTGTCCATCTCTTCCAGAAGAGATCTGAGAGGAACTGAACCTGCTTCCATCTTCTCCTAGCATAGCAGTCCTGCTTGTTAAAGAGCCCCGGTGGAAGGATGGGCTTTGCTTTAAGCAGTAGTAGATGGTTCGGAGTAAGAGGTTCAGGATCTGTCGGATCTCCAGATGTTATTGTTATTGGACGTGCATTGAGAATAGCCTCCACTTCACAGAGGGTGGTTTGAAGACATTCGTCGTCCAAGGTCTGTTCTTTGATCACAGAGTAGAGTGCTTTCTTGATGATCCGTATGAGGCGCTCCCACACACCTCCGTGATGAGAGCCGTAAGGTGGGTTGAATGTCCATTTGATTCCTTCTGTATGCATCTGATTCTGTATTTTACTATGGTCCAGCTGAGCCAGAGCTTCCCTCAGTTCCCGCTCTGTTCCCACGAAATTGGTTCCATTGTCAGACAGAATCTCTTTTACTTGGCCTCGTCTGCAGACAAATCTGCGGATGACTGAAATACAGGAATCTGTATTAAGGGAGTAGGCCATCTCTAAGTGTACAGCTCTGCTGGCAAGACATGTAAACAGGGCGCCGTACCTCTTCACTCGACTACGGCCCCTCTTAACTTCTATGGGCCCAAAGTAGTCCAAGCCCGTGTGAGTAAAGGGGGGCAGATCTGGGGTTACTCGCACCAAAGGCAAGTCCGCCATCTTCTGCTTCATAGCTGCTCCATGCCATCGTTTGCAGAGTGTGCAGTCACGGGTTATTCTCCTGGCTGACGAATTGGCTTTTGGGATCCAGTATTTTGTTCTTAGTTTCGAGAGCATTTGATTCTTTCCACAATGTCCTACTAATTTGTGAGTGTGGCGCAACAGTAAAGTTGACAGATGGCTGTCATTAGGCAAGATGGCCGGGTGCTTGATCTCTTCAGGCATAGCCAGTCTGCTCAGCCTGCCACCAACTCTCAGAATTCCATTCTGAAGAACAGGATCCAACTTGTAGAGTCGACTGCTTCTCTTCACAGCTTGGCCCTTCTGTAAAGCATATACTTCGTCTCCAAAAGAGTGATGTTGAATGAAAGACGTAAGAGCCTCCTCAGCAGCGCTGAGATCTTTTACTGACAACTGTCGGTCTGCAGGATCTGGTTTTATTGACAGATTTAATGTGACACTTGTCTTCCTCTTTTGGATCAGATGCTTCTTGAACTTCAGTAGCCAGGCTGCAGATCTGAGGAGTTTGTTCCATTCTGAGAAGTACTCTATGAAACGAATTAGAGGACTGTTATAGGCTACTGTGGCAAGAGTTATGGCAGCTTGTTTTACCTCTGGGTCACTGATAGACAGCTCTAGAGGGTCCATGATGAGCTTCGGCCAGGCTACTTCGGATTCAAACAGAAAGTCTGGGGCTTCTATCCAACTTGTGCCTTTTAGAAAGGTCTCTGCCCACATTCCTCTGGATGCTTTGTCCGCTGGATTAAGATCAGTTCTAATATGACGCCATTGTGACTTCTGTGTCAGGTCTCTGATGACTGTTACTCTGTTAGCCACAAAGGTCTTGAATCTCTGTGTGTCACTTATGATGTATTTGAGAACAGATGTGCTATCAGTCCAAAACACAGAGTCTATCATCTCAAACTCCAGTTCTTTCGTCAGCATTTGATCTATCCGAGCAGCTAGAACTGCTGATGTCAGCTCCAGTCTGGGAATAGTCACTACCTTTAAAGGAGCCACTCTTGCTTTCCCCATCACAAAGGCAATGTGAGGAGGTCCACATCTGCTGGTCAGTCGCAGGTAACTTACTGTCCCATAGCCACTCTCACTAGCATCGCAAAAATGGTGCAGTTGAGCGCTTGTGATTTCAAAACCAGCTGGTTTGTAGCATCTTCCAATTCTGAAGCTGGAAATCATCTGAAGTTCTTTCAGCCACTCCTTCCATTTAAATGCAAGAGCTGTTGGGATTTCTTCATCCCATCCGCAATTCATCTTGCATAACTCTTGAAGGATCTTTTTTCCAGACAGCATAACTGGTGATAAGAATCCCAGGGGATCGTAAACTGAATTAAGCACTGACAGAATTCCTCTTCTATTATGTGGTTGTTCTTTGAGAGTGATATTAAAGAAGAATGTGTCAGATTCGATGTCCCATCGCATGCCAAGGGCACGTTCCGCAGGAAGTTTGTCTCTCTCCAAGTCAATGTTCTTAATGTCTTTGGCCCGTTCCTCTGAGGGTAATGAGGCTAGGACAGCACGGCTGTTACTAGTCCATTTGGTAAGCTTAAATCCACCTGTGGCGCATACTGCCTTCAGGTCATGGACCAGAGTGATGGCTTTGCTTGCATCTGGAACTGATTTGAGACAATCATCCACATAA